GGGGGGGGGGGGGGGCCTTCACCCAGGGGCCTGGGTTTTAATGAAAGCTTTGAGGCCCAGAGGAATGGCTCTCAATCTCTGCAAGAGATTTGCAAGCAGAGTCTCTCAAAGCACTCTCCACCTAGAGATGACTGCCAGGGCTATAAAAATGAGCAGCAAAACCAGGTCCTTTTCCAGATCCCTTTGACATGTGAGGTTTTAGCTTCTTGAGATTCCATGGCCTCTCCTTCTGCGAGCACGGAGCCCCGCCAGCCCTTGTTAGAGGCAGCTCGTCTGTGGTTTGGCACCACTGGCCAGCAGGCATTTGTTAAATCAGTAGGATGTTGTCCCGGCTGGCCTGGAAAGAGAACGCTAAGCTCCAAAAACTTCCTGCAGCAGGCCTCCTTTGGAGAGTGCTGCTCAGAGGGGTGAGGAGCAAAACCATTCCAGTCCCTGGCTGTGGGCCAACATCTGGTTCACCAGGACTTCTGCCCTGTCTGCACGGAGAACCGGGGGCCTGAGAACATCTGGAAGCCTGCTTAAGACCTGGGCCACTTCTCTCTCCTTCCTGCAGGGTTGGCTTTGCTTGACCCTGGTAATCCAGGGTGACCTTTGCCAATGCCCCTTCCGACCCACTCTTCTGTCCGTCACTCTGCAACAACCCTCTAATGAAATCCACATGAGCCCAGCGGCTCACAGCTCCTGGAAGCTCTGGAGGATCTAACACCTGCCCCTGCATTCCTGGTGCTCTAGTAGCAAGGGAAACGAGGGCCGAGACCCAACTCCTGTGCCTGTGGCTCTTACAGTTGAGCTGTGGAGAGAGGGAGGAGGTGGGAAGAGCGATGCAGCAGTGATGGGGATTTGCTGAAAGTGGGGAAGGCAGCTGCAGGCAAGGAAGGAATGCATAGGTGTGTTGACATGGCTGCTGAGTGGCCCAGGCAGGGCCCTGGAGCCGGCAGGGGCCTGCCCCTTCCCAGTGATCTCAGCCCTGCTGACAAAGGCCCACTTCATCTTTCCTTGAATAATTAAAGACCCAGGGAACTGTGGTCTTCTCCAGTCACAGAGAGAAGAGGAGGAACACAGGCTGAGTTGAGTGACCCAAGAGTTGGGCCCAGAGTTCCAGGTTGCCTGTTCCTCCTCGCCCCTCTGTCACCTGACCTAGGGGGACCCAAATGCTCTGATAATTCTTTTTTCGGTTTGTTCTGTTTTATTGGCACATAATCCACATCATACAGTTCAATCAATCAATCATGTCAAGATCTGATTAATTCTTCAAGGGAAACTTTACTGAACATGTACAACACGGCTCTGCATGGGGCCAGTGCTAGGGAGAGATCATCAGTAGGTAGCGCAGAGCGGCTTCCTGCTCTCAAGTCCCACTCACTTAGAAATCCTGTCTGACTGGAAACCACCTTCTTGGAGAGCCACCCTCTTGAAGGGTGGGGGTGGAGGCTGGATGTCAGGGACAGACCGGGTGGTGTTAGGTCTGCCATTCGGACTCCCTAGCTCTTAGCATCTCTGGGGTGTACGGTACGGACACAGGTTTCCCTCGGACTGAAGTCAGAACTGACCCACTTGCGTTGTCTTCTTCCCAGCAGAGGCAACCGTCCAGGAAATCAACACGCCCCATAGGGGAACCGGGCAGATGAGGGACATGAGGTTTGTGTATAAAGCATAAGGATGCATTTACTAGACCTGAAATTATTTTTATTTTTTAATTCCTCCTTTGCTTTCTTTTCCACCCAGCTGAGATTTTTTGGTTATTGTTGCTTACTCTCATTTCAAAGTCCCCAGCCAGTTCCATGAATGCTATCTGTTCTTTGCTGTGCTGAGCCAAAGACCAGCACAATAGTCCCGGGAGGTGGAGGGTGGGATCATCGCAGAAGGGCCAATCAGGGGAAGCCAGAGGCCTCGGCTGTCGGCTCAGGCCTCTGGGGAGCAGAGGAACTGGTGTCCTTCTTGGAGCGCTGCCTTCATGTCCTTGAAGGCGGCCAGCTGGCAGGCCTCATCCAGCCCCAGCCAGCGGTAGGCTTGGTGCTCGTGGGAGAGGCGGATCTCCACATCATAGTCCTTCACCTCCGCTAGCCAGTAGATGACTGTTTTAGGCTTCTGCCTGGCCACATAATTGAGCTCCTTTCTGAACCCCTCAATCACCGTCAGCTGGCTGGCTTCTAGGCCCGCTTCCTCTCGAGTCTCTCTCAGGGCTGTCTCCAGGTCATCCTCTCCTGGGTCCACATGACCTGGTTAGGGGAAAAGAAGATGCAGAGGTCACCATCACCAGCTCCAAAAGCTGTATTTCCCAGCTCAGAGGATTTCAAGAGGGCTCTCTGGTGACTTTTCTAGGTGTTCCTAAAGGGAGCCTGGAGGTGGACCGCATCCTAAAGTGACCGAGAAGAGGGTGTCAGGCAGGCGTGGCTGGCTCCGTGGGGCTTGGACAATCTCTCTTCCCCACTCCATCTGCTCTGGGGAAGAGCATGTGTTTGGCCAGTCTGGTTTGTACAGCTCTCTGATGGGGAGAGGTAGACCCCCTGCGATCTTAGTTTCTCACTCTCGAGCTCTCGTCATCCCACGTTCTAGAGACCACGCTTCCCTGAAGAGAAAGTGCTCTCCCCACATTCCTCAGTGCGGGCTTCACACTGTCTGCAGTGGGGCCCAGAAGTCCAGGGGCCAGCAGACAGGCTCAAAGCCTTGCATGGCTGCACCAGCAACTGTTTCCAAGGAGCTGTCGAGGCTTTTGCCATGGTGTTCTCAGCCTTCTACCTGAGCTTGGGCCGCTTTTGGTTTCACAGGGAAAGCAAAGTCCTGATGAGAACTCGGACTAAGGACAAGTTGAGCGCCAGTTCTAAGAAATTTTATTGGCAAGACCCAGACCCACACAGAGAACTGCCAAGAAACTGTTCTATGAGAATGTGAAGCTTTGCAGACTGGGAGCAGGCCTCTGCTTCCCCTCTGGGCCCTTCCCACAAATTCTC